AAAAAAAAAAAACTAACAACGTTGAATCCAGACATTGAAGAAGGCCCTCAGGGGGGTGGAAGTCACACTAGTGCTTTGAGGAATGTATCTGGGTAGCATGTGAGGAACATGATTTCTGATGTTTTCGTTTTTGTGAGGAGGGGCGGTTTCCACGGGGGCCAAGTCCCACATACACGGTTGAACTAGTCCAACGCGTGTGACCTCGCACGACGTTGGAGATGCATGTGGAGCTGCGCATCTAGTGGTTGTTTTTAGGTAGCAGAAATGAAAAGACTTTTGTTTCTTTCTTTTGGGAAGAAAAGTGCTAAAAAATCCCTCCACCCTAATACAACGCCCCTTACCCTGCCCGTCTTCCGTTGGACTACATACCCCACTTGGGGTGGGGTATGGGTTCAACGGTGCTTGTGCCATCATTACCTCCTCGTGGGAGGACTCTCTGACAGCCGTGGGAGGACAGTCTGGCAGAAGGTGTTCATGCTCTCATTGGCCGTGCAGCTCCAAACTCGTTTCTGTAAATGCACCACGCCAGTGTACTGTCCATGTTCATTTCACTTTCTAGTGAGTCACTGCCTCCGACTTTGCATAGTATGTGGAGGCTTTCACTGAGGGTTGCTGTATTTCTTCATTTTATTTTTCAGGGAAATATGGACAAAAGCTTTGAGCAACATTTGGTTCTTCATTTTTTTTTATTATTATTTTTTGTATTTAGAGGGCTGCGCCACACTCCGCTGCAGTGCAATACAGAGGCAACACTGGAGGAGTAGAGCAGGCAAGCCTACCCATATGACCCCTCTGTAGCCCAGCAAAACTAATTTAATATCGTGTGGTCCGATGGACCACAGATCAGATACTAAAACAGGGAAAAAAACTTTAAGTACCAGTTGATTCTTCTTTTTTGCCTTTCTTTCGAGTTCCGTGTCACACCGTTGCATTGAACTAGTTCAACGGTGCCTGTGGACTTGGCCCCGGGGGACACCAACAGTAGCTGCGTCACACATGTCCTACTCACAACCTAGGCTACCAGCCGGGGGGTCCCGGGTGGCCAGCCCGTGCAAGGACCAGGGAAGGTCCCAGCAAAAAAAAAAAAAAAAAAACAAAGAACAGAAAAATCCGAAAACAAAATATGTTATGCAGAAAAATAAACTGAACAACTTTTGCCTGAGGGTCACATCGAAATTCTTCACCAAATTTTAAATAAAAAATAAAATTCAAAAATATTATATTTTTTTTCATTATTTTGGCCCGGCCGGGCAAGTGACCCCGGGCCACTCTGGTAGCCTAGCTCACAACAGCACTGTAGCTCCTGTATCGGACCGAGATAGAAGCATAAGGGAAGTATCGTTTTTCGTTTTCTTCATCATTTGTTTTCATGGGGGAAGGCGGGATGCGTGACACCAGTGCTTTGAGGAATGTATCTGGCCAGAATGTGTGGGACGCGATTGCTTATGTTTCCCTTTTTCTTTTTTGTTTTTTTTTGGGATAATTTGTGAAATACCCCTATAAGCTGAGCAATATGCCAAAATGCCCCTAAAAGATGTGGATAGAGCGGAATACCCTTTTGGGCCTAAGTCTTTGCGTTTCGCCCCTGTCAGGCCCATGTGCAAATTTGCAATCTGGACCTCGTTGTTGGGGCCTGGGCCTGGGCCTGGGCCTGCACGCTGTTTTACCCGGTTTGCCCTCCATACCAGGTGGGCAACTTTGCGCAATACCCAGGCCCGGTGCAGTTTCCCTCCATGTTTGGCAGCGTCATTCATCGTCCTCCCTGGTGAGGTTCCCCATCTCGGGCTCCTCCTATGCCACGTCACCATCTCTGAAATCCTCCTGCTTGCCACTCTGAGAACTCTCTGTCTCTCTGTCTCTCTGTCTCTCTCTCTCTCTCTCTCTCGCTCTCTCTCTCTCTCTCTCTCTCGCTCACACACACACACACACACACACACACGCACGCACACACACACACATGCACACACACACAAAAGTATGGCAGTGTATATTTTCATGTTCCGGCGGTAGATTCATTCGATTTTGCTCATCCTATCCATGGAAGTAGTGTGAGTCCAGCCGCGGGGTTGGAGACTTACCTGTTGGCCAGTGGGTTGCTCATCCTATCGATGGAAGTTACTGTCCCCTCTCTCTCTCTCTCTCTCTCTCTCTCTCTCTCTCTCTCTCTCTCTCTCTCTCTCTCTCTCTCTCTCTCTCTCTCTCCCCTCCCTCCCCCCCGCCCCCCTTGCCATGTACCACTCCCGCTGCCAGGGGCACTTTGCAAAACATTTTTTTGTGTCAGAGGGGTATTCCGCTCTACCTAGATCTTTTAGGGCCATTTTGGCACATATATCAACTTATAGGGGTATTTCGCTACATATCCCTTTCTTTTTGTTTTCTTTTTGGTCAAAATTTCCTGTTTTTGTAAGGGCCCAGTGCCCAAGGCAAAAAATACAGTGTCCACAAATTTCAAGTTCAGGTGCCACGAGGCCTCCAGCTGCAGTCAGCAAGCGGAGCCCGTCAGGTAGGTAGCTTAGTTAGGACCGTTCTTCACAACCAGGGCACTTGGTTGTTTTGCACAGGGTTACACTGCAGTAGGCCAAAAGGGGTGGAGGGTGGAGAGTGTCATGTGCTCACAGGACCCCAAGGGGTACAACCGGCTGGCTATAGGTCTCTGTATTGAGTAGTGTCTGTTACTCAGGAACTGTACTTAGGACCGTAGCAGCACAAAGGCATAGGTTGTTATAGCTAAGTTTTTTAGTAGGCTAACAACCTAAGTTTTTTAGTAGGCTAAGGGCCTCGTTCGACACCACTTGAACTCAAGGGTTGGAGGGAAATTCTTCTTTCTACCCTCCCTAACGTTGCCGCGGAGTTGTTTCTACTTTCCGGCTCTCAAGTGCCCGCCCTTGAAACTCAAGTGCGACCGGGGCAAATCGCACTTGAACTCGAGGTACCTCTCTGGGGAGCCTTGAGTTCAAGTGTGAGGGGATACTGCCAGCACTCAAGTGGGGCTTTTTTTTGTTTTTCTTTTTTTCCAGCAGGCGATCCTGGTCCAGGATTGGTCAAGCCATGGAGTTCGGTTTCAAGTGCAGCCTGTTCAAGGGTTTCCTCAAGTGTACATGGAACCATAAAATTTATCGAGTAAGTGTAAATTGATCACAATGTCTCGTTCAGGGTCTCGTTAGACACTCCTAAAAATGCCGATTTTCAGGAATGCAGTGTGGTTACACGCATTCCTAAAACCGAATTCACGAAAGAAAATGTGAAAACGGCGTTAGGACTTGTCCTTTAAAATTTAGGATTCCGCAGGCAAAAGTTCCTAAAAAATTAAGCTCCTCCCAAGCATCTAAAATTTTTAGGAAGCTGCGTTTCAGGGAGGCTTGGCAACGCGCGCAGCGCACCGTTGTCTCCGAGTCCGTGGTGCATAAGTTGTCCGTCGGGCCAAGGGTCGGACATTGGAGGCCTCCAGTGGCGGGATGAAGGCAATGGCCACCATCGGTAGCCATTGGCGGGCAAAACAGACCGGGAATGTCAAGCGGGGGTGCCCTTTTCTCCGTAGTCGACCGTTGCCTTTGAAACGAAACGTGGAGGAGGACAAGGCGTTGCGCCATCATGGTACCGACGATCTACGGGCAGTAGAAGGACCTGCAGTCGAATCTGTCGGCAGGCCGGAGTCTGTGTCCTTTGTGTGCGCAGAACGCTCCCTCCAAAGCGCAGATTCATGGCAGACGTATATCGGAGGTTGCCTTCCCTGGTACTCGTTGTCGTTGTCTTCTTGTTTGTCGTCTTCCTCCACGTGTGCTTGGCGTTCCGGTCGTGGAAGCAACTCCACAAACGACGCACATCCACGAAATGGACTTTTGTTGAACGGGCAATGGCGAACTTCAACGTCAGCAGACAAGTAGCGGCCGCGAGTGAAGGGGGCTCAGCTAGGGTGCTCCGTCACCGGCGGTATGACCCGCCCTTGTACAGCCATGTGCCTCTGCACAAGCAGTCTCTGCCCCCGTCGGACGACGAAGAAGAAGCGGAGGAGCTGGCAACACTACCTTTGGGTACTAGGTCGACGAAGAAGTGGTCGCAGACGTTGGTAGGTGGTGGATGTGGGACAAATCAAGGTGGCGAGTTCACATCCCTCTTGCGTCAAGGGTTGAAGGATGACGACGATGGGCAGGTCGATCTGAGGTTCGACTTGTCGTTTGGCGGTGCGACGCCAAGGACCCACACCTTCATCATTATACTGGAACCTTCGTCGAGTAGCGTTCACCGTCCTCAAAGTGTGCACACTGAGGAGTCGCCACTTGCACGCGCTTCATCCGTCATTGTTGGTGTCGGGACGTCATCCTGTGACCGACATCATGGCAGGAATGTGATTATCGTGCAACGTAGCAGAGACGGCTGCCCTCCCGCTGCCGGAGTTGCACCAGGCCCCGTGGGCATTGGTGGTGGTCGTCTTTCGATGCCATGTACTCAGACAAGGACAACGCAGGCCGACGCGAGAGACGACAACGATTGTAGACCACCACCGTCGCAGCAAGCAAGCGTGGAGAACATCACTCGTGGAGTGTCGAACATGCGGGCAGGCAGCAATGGTGGTCGTGACGATGTGGCACACCTCGATGACGATGACGACAGAAGCACGAAGGACATCGAAGCAGGGGATGACGAAGAGGACGTTGATATTCGTCCTCTGCCGTCCTCGGAGGGCGAAAGGATGCATGAGAGGCAGTGGTCTTGAACGAGTCGGTGGTCGTGGCGGCAGAGCTGGCGCTTCCGAGGACGGTGGCAAATTAGCAACATATTGGACAACAGAAGAGCAGATGCTCCTCGTCAGATGCAAGTGGGAGCAGGGCATGCACATGGCTGGACTGGGTCACAATTACGGCCGGATGCAGACGAGGGAGTGGAAGTGGGAGGATATAGCGAAACGGTTGGCTACGCTGGGGACGGTAAAAGATGCCGACGATTGCTTCCGAAAGTGGGACAATCTCTTCTAGAACTACAAGAAGATATTGAGATTCCAGGGAAAGAGCGACGAGAAGGAATTTTTCAGGTTGACGAAGGAGGAATGTAAGGAGCATAACTTCAAGTTCCGAATGGAGAGGACATTGTATGCCGACATCCATGCGAGCATGGTGGGTAATCACACAATTTTTCCTCCCAATGTGGCCGATACTTGCTCTCCTGAAGCGGCGTAGTTGCCGAGGCGAGGAGCGGGAGGTGGGGAGTCCATAGGGAGCAAAGGTGGCGGTGATGCCTTCACCGATGACCAGTCGTCACCCAAGGATTCTGATCAAAATGTAGGAAGGGGTGGCGTGGGCGGAAAGCGATAGAATGCACGTCAGCAGACGTTCAAGGGAATCGCATATGTGATGGACCGCCATGGACAGCTCATGTCATCGATGATTGATTCGTCAAGCAAGCGGCAATGCAGCATCTTGACAAGGCAATGCGAAATCCTGGACCACGAGGTTGCAGTCCAAAAAGCACATTACGAGGATTTAGATGAAACGCAGAAGATGATGTGTTGGGCGCTGCTGGAGATCGCTGCTGCCATCCATGGTCGGTCGTCGTCGTAGGCGCTTCCCTCGTGCGTCAGCCAGTCGTGTGACTGTCACGCTTCTTTGCGTCTTCCTTTGTTCTCGAAGATTCTTCTTCCTTTTTTTAAGTATATTTTAAGATTTGTAGGATTTGTGAGATGTTTAGATGAACACCCCGGGATGGGTTGTTTTTTGGGCCGCAAGGTTGTTCTATTTCTGCCCATGTGGTCTGGCGGCTTCGCCGCCGTTGTCTCCAAAGAAGTTATTCGGTGGTTTGTTTCTTATATTCGACACTACTTTGTGTTAACAAAAGATTATCCTTTTATTTTCTCTCGGGGCCCTAACCAAATTGGCTAGGGGTACGGAAGATATACTACTATGTGGGTTACTGAAAAACTTCCAACTGATACATCAAAAACGAAGAGGAGTGGGGTTCGATCTCAGGAATTTGGAACACAGTACCTGCCGACAGAGGTTAGTCCAGTGTCAGTCAGCAACGGGTAACTACGGGACGAAGGACACTCTTTTGGAAGTTCATGGGAACTAAACTGCCCTTGGCAGAACTGGCACTTGGCAGATTGAGGCATCTTCCTCGAACAGTCAGAAGAGGCACAAGGAACGATTGTATCATTAGTTTTTCTCCACTGCGCCTTCAGATATCTTTTGGTCCCCTGTGCCTTTATATCTGACTGTCGCCCGGTAAACATACAGCACCACACGGGTTGACACAGCCAGGGGAGTGTGGGAGATGTTTCCGGCCCCTTTTTCCCTGGAAACAGTGGAAAGTACATCGTTTTCGACGGTTGTTTTCCACCTTTAGTTTTCCTTCGTTTTTCTGGTCTACCTACTTTTTTTGGATTTTGTGTGCCCGTTTTTTATCGTTTTTCTGGTCTACCTGAATTTTGGCTTTTGAATGCCCGACTTTTGTTTTGTTTTACTTATTTTCCTCCACACGAACAAGTTTTTCTCGTACTAGTTAAGCGGTTCGAATATTGACCGAATATGGTGATGAAGGGACTTAGCTAGTTCATAGAGATTGTTTGGAGCTCTCAGCTCAAAGGATACAATAAAATCCTTGGGAGACAAGACCTTGAGTCTCTCTTTTTGGCAGAAGTACCAATTTGGTACACCTTCCTGATGAGTTTTCTAAGCGGGCGGACGAAACCGGTTGAAGGACTTCACTTTGCATACTACCTGGGGAAGACGACAGCTATGGTGGTTATGGAGTTGAGGACACGCTGAGGCTGCGCTATTTTTGATGATTTTTGAACTCTGAAGTCGGAGATTCTGATTTTTTTCAGCTTTTTGTGACTTCTGAGTGTTTCGTCTACTATATGCTTACCAGATTCCTGTTTGTACTCCCGGCCTCCTATGCGCTTCCCTGACGGACTGTGTGGCCTCAGTCTCTCTCTCTCTCTCTCTCTCTCTCTCTCTCTCTCTCTCTCTCTCTCTCTCTCTCTCATTTCGGTCGTGAAAAACGAAAAGCTCATGTCAACGGTGTGTACTATGGACGCGGTAAAGCTCAATTTCCATTTCGTCGGTGGAATACAAAAATGTTATATTTTCATCATGTTTTCGTGTGATTTGGCAAAATGTCGTTTCCTTCCGATGTATATGGCATTGTATTTTCTCAAATATCTTTTTGACGGTGTGTAATTCTGCATTGTTAATGGAATTTTTTTTTTTTTTGTTATTATTTTTTCGCAAGCGCAGTGGACAGGGGTCTCTGTGAATCGAGGAGCAGCGTCTGAAATAGAAACATTTAAATAGGCACCTCGCCCAGCACGAAGATATAGTAGCCGGCTTCCACACACAAACACACACACACACACACACACACACACACACACACACACAC